AATGGAACCAGTATATTCCACTATAGGCCCTAATGGATTCCTTTCTTGGTGGATATTTGGTGTACATTCTATGTGTGTTCCCTGCAGTGGGATTCAGGTGTCTGTATTTGATTTGGAAATCTTATTATCTTTCGTTAGTTTTGAGAAGACCAAGGTTTTTTTTATATTTTTGGTCAGGGTTGTTTTTCATAAGTTTAGTTGTCTTCAGTCATAGCCATGATTTGATCACATACTCGTCAGTGTCTATAACGACTGTGGCTTTCCCATTGTCTGCTGGTAAAATCAAGATAGATCTGTCCTTGATCAATAGTTTAAGTGCAATGCGTAATTTGCTGGTCATTTTGTAGATTTTACGACACTTGTCATTAGCGAACTCGGATTATCAGCCTCGCCGAAGCAAAGTTCTTACTGCCTGTTCTGTAAAGATAGGCGTGTCTGGTGTTGTATACCGACAGTTTGTGATCGTTGTTGTGTTAGGTGTGTCTGGTGTTGTATGCCGACAGTTTGTGATCGTTGTTGTGTTAGGTGTGTCTGGTGTTGTATTCCGACAGTAAGTGATCATTGTTGTGTTAGGTGTGTCTGGTGTTGTATTCCGACAGTAAGTGATCATTGTTGTGGGGTAGGTGTGTCTGGTGTTGTATTCCGATTGCAAGTGATCATTGTTGTTGTGTTAGGTGTGTCTGGTGTTGTATTCCGACAGTAAGTGATCATTGTTGTTGTGTTATGTATGTCTGGTGTTGTATTCCGACAGTAAGTGATCGTTGTTGTTGTGTTAGGTGTGTCTGGTGTTGTATTCCGACAGTAAGTGATCATTGTTGTGGGGTTAGGTGTGTCTGGTGTTGTATTCCGACAGTAAGTGATCATTGTTGTGTTAGGTGTGTCTGGTGTTGTATTCCGACAGTTTGTGATCATTGTTGTGGGGTAGGTGTGTCTGGTGTTGTATTCCGACAGTTTGTGATTATTGTTGTGGGGTAGGTGTGTCTGGTGTTGTATTCCGACAGTAAGTGATCGTTGTTGTTGTGTTAGGTGTGTCTGGTGTTGTATTCCGACAGTAAGTGATCATTGTTGTGGGGTAGGTGTGTCTGGTGTTGTATTCCGACAGTAAGTGATCACTGTTGTGTTATGTATGTCTGGTGTTGTATTCCGACAGTAAGTGATCATTGTTGTGGGGTAGGTGTGTCTGGTGTTGTATTCCGACAGTAAGTGATCATTGTTGTGTGTTAGGTGTGTCTGGTGTTGTATTCCGACAGTAAGTGATCATTGTTGTGTGTTAGGTGTGTCTGGTGTTGTATTCCGACAGTAAGTGATCATTGTTGTGTGTTAGGTGTGTCTGGTGTTGTATTCCGACAGTAAGTGATCATTGTTGTGTGTTAGGTGTGTCTGGTGTTGTATTCCGACAGTAAGTGATCATTGTTGTTGTGTTAGGTGTGTCTGGTGTTGTATTCCGACAGTAAGTGATCATTGTTGTTGGGTAGGTGTGTCTGGTGTTGTATTCCGACACTAAGTGATCATTGTTTTGGGGTTAGGTGTGTCTGGTGTTGTATTCCGACAGTAAGTGATCATTGTTGTGGGGTAGGTGTGTCTGGTGTTGTATTCCGACAGTAAGTGATCATTGTTGTGGGGTAGGTGTGTCTGGTGTTGTATTCCGACAGTTTGTGATCATTGTTGTGGGGTAGGTGTGTCTGGTGTTGTATTCCGACAGTAAGTGATCATTGTTGTGTTAGGTGTGTCTGGTGTTGTATTCCGACAGTTTGTGATCGTTGTTGTTGTGTTAGGTGTGTCTGGTGTTGTATTCCGACAGTAAGTGATCATTGTTGTGTTAGGTGTGTCTGGTGTTGTATTCCGACAGTAAGTGATCATTGTTGTGTGTTAGGTGTGTCTGGTGTTGTATTCCGACAGTAAGTGATCATTGTTGTGTTATGTATGTCTGGTGTTGTATTCCGACAGTAATTGATCATTGTTGTGTGTTATGTATGTCTGGTGTTGTATTCCGACAGTAAGTGATCATTGTTGTGTGTTAGGTGTGTCTGGTGTTGTATTCCGACAGTAAGTGATCATTGTTGTGTGTTAGGTGTGTCTGGTGTTGTATTCCGACAGTAAGTGATCATTGTTGTGTGTTAGGTGTGTCTGGTGTTGTATTCCGACAGTAAGTGATCATTGTTGTGTGTTAGGTGTGTCTGGTGTTGTATTCCGACAGTAAGTGATCATTGTTGTGTGTGTTAGGTGTGTCTGGTGTGAATTGTTGTGTTAGGTGTGTCTGGTGTTGTATTCCGACAGTAAGTGATCATTGTTGTGGGGTAGGTGTGTCTGGTGTTGTATTCCGACAGTAAGTGATCATTGTTGTGTTAGGTGTGTCTGGTGTTGTATTCCGACAGTAAGTGATCATTGTTGTGGGTTAGGTGTGTCTGGTGTTGTATTCCGACAGTAAGTGATCATTGTTGTGGGTAGGTGTGTCTGGTGTTGTATTCCGACAGTAAGTGATCATTGTTGTGTGGGTAGGTGTGTCTGGTGTTCTGGTGTTAGTATTCCGACAGTAAGTGATCATTGTTGTGTGTGTAGGTGTGTCTGGTGTTGTATTCCGACAGTAAGTGATCATTGTTGTGGGGTAGGTGTGTCTGGTGTTGTATTCCGACAGTAAGTGATCATTGTTGTTGGGTAGATGTGTATGGGGTTGTATTCCGACAGTTTGTGATCATTGTATTGGGGTAGGTGTGTCTGGTGTTGTATTCCGACAGTAAGTGATCATTGTTGTGGGGTAGGTGTGTCTGGTGTTGTATTCCGACAGTTTGTGATTATTGTTGTGTGTTAGGTGTGTCTGGTGTTGTATTCCGACAGTAAGTGATCATTGTTGTGTGTTAGGTGTGTCTGGTGTTGTATTCCGACAGTAAGTGATCATTGTTGTGGGGTAGGTGTGTCTGGTGTTGTATTCCGACAGTAAGTGATCATTGTTGTGGGGTAGGTGTGTCTGGTGTTGTATTCCGACAGTAAGTGATCATTGTTGTGGGGTAGGTGTGTCTGGTGTTGTATTCCGACAGTTTGTGATTATTGTTGTGTGTTAGGTGTGTCTGGTGTTGTATTCCGACAGTAAGTGATCATTGTTGTGGGGAAGGTGTGTCTGGTGTTGTATTCCGACAGTAAGTGATCATTGTTGTGGGGTAGGTGTGTCTGGTGTTGTATTCCGACAGTAGTGATCGTTGTTGATTATTGTTGTGGGGTAGGTGTGTCTGGTGTTGTATTCCGACAGTTTGTGATTATTGTTGTGGGGTAGGTGTGTCTGGTGTTGTATTCCGACAGTAAGTGATCATTGTTGTGGGGTAGGTGTGTCTGGTGTTGTATTCCGACAGTAAGTGATTATTGTTGTGGGGTAGGTGTGTCTGGTGTTGTATTCCGACAGTTTGTGATTATTGTTGTGGGGTACTTTTGTGGTTTGATATAAAACGAGTACAGTAATTGACAGAATATTCCATTTTATTGACAATAACAAATAATTCCACATTAATCTCCAGTATATTAAATATCAATCTGATGGATTCAGTACCTGACGACATTGAAATTGAAACAGTAATGTGTCGGCTAGAGGTGAGAAGAATGTGGCACGTCTCACACGATATGTATAAATAAACCTAACGCACTTCATTCCAACAACTAACTCAAATTTGGTTCAATTAAAAAATAAGCTGATTACTTGAGTTATCTTCAAGTTATTTTAAAAAGAAACAGAATGTTAATTTGATTTTATTTTCTAATAATTATGATTTTCCATGGTTCAGTAGAGTACACGGCTCAAATGAATAATAAATGGTACTGCACCAATCCATAAATACGAATGTCATATATTGAGTGCGGAACTGTGAGAGGAAGAATTTCTCAAATTATGTAATTATTGGCACGTCTTTCAAGTTTTTTCATGTGCCAAGAGGAATAACTCTCATGTCAGGACCTGTATTCAAATAAATGCATACTCTCGTGAAAATTAAAATAAAGATCTTGGCTTACCATTTACAACTTAATAACACTCGACGTACATTTACCTGTGTCTGTGTTAACAGTTTAGGTAGTACTCTAACAAACCTATCACTACAGATCTTCTTAGATTTGATTTTTTAAAATTTATATATTTATTTACTTATTATCCAAGTGTGCCTGTAGTATATCGATAACTGACTTGCGAGGTGACATATTGGATAAATGGAAGTTACTCCAGTGAAGGTAGACTGATATCTCCTGTTTTATCTCAATAAAATCCTTGACTTCATAACACGAACTGGAACACTGTCACTATGATAGTTTCATTCCATTTATCAGACAAACGACTAACAGCAAAAATAATTGAAAGACAATTCTGAGACGTAGGTGCTGTGGTGATGTACAATCAGACTACATTTGGGCCCATCATTGAGTAATTTCTTTATATCATAGTATTCGTGTGATTCTCTATTCGCATTGAATGTTCCTAAACGAAACATCCAAATACAGATGTATATCATAGTCCAATGAGTGCACAGGAAAATAACAGTCCACACGTAACCTTGATACAACGAGTCCAGCGGGAAACCATAGCAAGACAAGCTGAATAAACTCGAGTCCTCGACTAATATACTTCACATATATAGTGATTAACATGCATTTCTTCACTAGTGACTTCGTCCATGTATACCACGATTTTCTCGACTAGTTCATGTTGAATGTCATTTGGCGAGAGAAGCCCCTGATGGCGAGTTACCATAACACTTAGCCGTTTCCGAGAGTACTCTATGGCTCGACATTTGATGATCAGATTCTTGATCACTTATCAGTTTCCGAGAGACACGCTATCATGTTGCCGGTCATTATATTGGAACTAATCCTCAATTAAAAGCTGGATCAATGTCAGAATGTAAACACCAATTAAAGCAATGGCCAACCAGACTGTCCCTTTAACACAATCTCCACAATTGATCTACACTGTTATCCACAGAATGAGTTTCTCTCGAACTAAGATCGATAACTGACAACGCCATTTAATTGAAATAAATCTATAGAATACATTTACAATACACACTCACTTCGCTTGTTCCGTGTACTGTTTGTAAAGTTCCGAGTTCCGCTGCATTATATCTAAGCAAGGCCCGAGAAGTCTTTCGAACGAGCCCCGTTCCAGGAAGGCGACCCTCACACGCCCAATCGAGTACACATTGGCAGAGCGGGGCTTGTTGTTAATCAAAGCCAGCTCCCCGAAATACTTCCCTTTTGTGTGTCTGCCTACCTCCTCTTCAGTACCGTCCGGTTTGTGGATGGTCACTCTAATCATTCCGGATTCTATGAAATACATTCCGTCTGCGTCCTCTCCCTGTTTTATGATTTCTTCCTCGTCATCATAGGTTCTCGAAATCAATGCGTCTGCTAGATTCATCCGTTCATACTGTTCAAGAGTTTTAAGAATTGTAACATTTTCCAAAAGTTCTTCATACATTTTGCGTTTTTTGAAAGCACTCCTTAGCACGATTCTTCGGAATGACTTCCGGTCCATTGCCCAAAGTGTACCTTCGGTAACGGCCACGATAGTAGCTGACCTCGGCATGTTATACATTAGTGCTAATTCTCCGAAACTGCCTTTGTTATCAAAACGATGAATTTTCTTTTCTTCTCCACCGGAAGTGACGAAAACGTCATACATGCCACTATCAACGACATAAAAGTTGTCGCCGTCATCTCCCTGACGAATAATATTTTCACCAGGACTAACTTCCTTTTCAAACATAGCGTCTAAAACGTCCTGCATTTGTTCAAGTTCGAGACATCTGAAGAGTAAAATCCCACAAATAGCTTCCGTCAGTCTGTCCCTCTGTTCGTCCGTTTTCGGATGAATGACCTTGTCTTCATCGTCGCTATCCTCTTCCGGGTCGTAACGTTCGGCCGAAACGGATTGACGCCTCGCGTACCGGTTGGATTTCTGTGATTTGGGTTTAAACACGTCCTTGTCAGGTTCCCCGGAGTTCTCCTCCTCATCGTCCACTATTACATACATAGGGATTGACTTTGGGCGTCTTTTCTCCCGAATTTTCGTAAAATAATCTACAGCAAAATCGTGTAGATCTATGGGTCTATCGCGCAGAACGGCGACTGTGAAATCCCGCAACAGGTCGCCAAGCCCATCCGGTATTTCTAAACTCATGTTTATCTCCTTAAATCTCCTACAGAACTAAATTAGAAAAATGCCACTATTTTTAAGTAAAGAGTATTGACCAGTGTTTGTAGATTTAAACAGCAATCGCCTCTATCAATCGCTGTCTTTCATAGGCGTATTAGATGTGATAAGGAAGACACAAAGCGACTATCCCACAGTCTTGTAATACCATTAACATGGCATTAATATTTGACGACACTCGCGTACTATCTCCGTCATTAGGAACATAAAGGTTATAAAGGCCTTTAACTGGCCAATGAAATCCTCCGAGATAGTTGCTGCTAAATCAATAACTATACTGGAGTGGTTTTTCTGTTAAGTTCTGATGAAGAGATTGAAATCTGTAAGTAGTGTATCACACGTCCAGGTGTCGCCCGTTCATAGCCACATTCTGAAAACAGACAAGAAAAACAAGACCAGGTTTTATTACAGTTCATAGGTCTTTACATAGCTTTCTAATAGCTTCAATACAGAGCGCGTGACGAAATCTACTGTAAGGTTGTCAGACAATCTACCAATTCTAATGGTTTATAAAATTATTATCAGCCTTCCTAATTTGAAAAGCAATTATGTGCATGTAATTATTTGACCATTTTGTAAAACAATAACCGTAGAACTAATTCAAAACGTAATTGATTTTCAGAGTGACTGTGTTTACGGCTGCAATACAAGAGTCTGCGTTACACGGATTAGGGGGAAGTAGCACTTCCGGGGTGATTCAGGGTTACACAAAACACTGCCCCAATACCGTATAAGGCGATCCCTCCCTTGAGCAGTCAATTTCCTAAACTAAATTAAACAGTATTGGTTGACAAAGCCTGATGGTTAACCAGCCGAGGAACACGCGAGCACTGGTAGTTTTTGTAGTCCACAATCCCCGGCATTATTACTACAAGCAAATTTATGGATTAACCTTAAATGGCACTCCAGACTTACGGGGCTAATACACGTAACTCAATCAGCACAGAAACCTACTCCAAATACAACAAATTGCAATATATCGTAATCTGGCTACACGGTAGCCTTCACTTCATCACAATCGCAAAGTTAGAAAGGGAAAAAATGGCGTTGATATCTTTGCAAATGCAGTTAGTTATCGTTATTTAGAAATCATATTTGGTGTTACAGATTTTTTTCCCTTTCGAAATGTCGCTTTAATGAAATGTAATTTCATTATTTCGAAATGCGAAATGCTGTTTCGTTTTAACGAATTTAATTCATTGTCATACCATAGCATCACACCACCGAGGTCAATATCTTATTTGACTTTTACATAGTTTCAGTTTAAGTCGAACTTAAAAGGTCGCTCTTGGCCACTTTCGAAATAAAAAGTAAGCTTGTGTGCAGCGTATAAACCCCGAGAGATTTACATCAGAAGAAAACGATCCAGGGTTGAGGGTTATAGCTATGTCCGTGTGTCTGTCTATCTGCCTGTCCGCCTGTCAGTCTGTCTGTCTATCTATGTTAGACCTGACTCACGAAGTGTTTATTTTTTCTCATATATTAACACGCGCAAGACAAGAAGACGTCAAAAGAAACTAACATATCAATTGTTCAACCAAGGCCTAATCTGCCCATCAATGCATATGTAAAACATCTACAATCTTGCCAAATAGCGGACGAAAGGGGATTTGAAGAGTCCACCCTATGACGATATTTGGCTCAAAAGATGGTGCAAAAACAATTATGCAAAATCTAATTTAAAATTCTTTCTTTTTCATCTAATATTATTTAAACAAATATATTATTTATTTATTATATATCTCTCATATTTATTTTTATATAAACATTTCTCTATCCCCGACAGCATTATACAAATAGAATATGTAAGTTTTTATGGTAGGACAGAAATCTCTCCCCGAGATGGGGATTAGCGACTGTCTTTACTTCAGCAAAGCATGGATTGGTAGCTATGAATCTCCCCCGAGTAGAGATTTCTATATCCTACCCTCCAGTAAGGTAATGACAGATTCTATGTGTCCCATCAGACAAATATCCACACTTCCTTCCAGGGTAAGATAACTCTGCCTTTTCCGGGTAAAATTACCAGCAAACAGAGAACATTTACGCATGCTAAACCGGGAGTCACAAATGTTAGTTTGACACATATATATGACAGGACGTTAAACAATATAAAATCAAAACCAATCAACTTTGAGTAAATTTTGATAAATTAATTAAGTTGTATGTTTTAGGGACATCACGCTTATCCTCATTCTGATTCCTATTACCTGTAAACAAAAACAACAATAATCTTCTATTATTTTTGTGGATTTTTCGAAGAAAAAAAATGTAACATTTCCTCTAAACTTGACACCAGAACAAGAACTTCCATTACTGGAGCAACTAAGATGCTTAACTAACGTCAGATTCAAAGTAAACAATTCTCATATGTTTAAATTACTCAAACTCTTATCCGAAAACATCAGGTAAAATACAGATTGTGTTAAATTAACAAAATCCTGAACCTTTTTTCTAGTGCAGGAAAAATGGGAAAGATCTTTTCGATGAGAACAAAGCAACGAAACAGTATTTCAAAAGTAAGGTCGACAGCACCATTTCAAAGTTTTGAAAACAATATAGTCTCTCAACACGTCTTGGGCTTGACAATGACAATGTTGGAATCGATTACCATAATCCGAGGCAAAAAAAAAGATTTTACTAACCCTGCCACTATTGTTGTATGATGTATCGTCTGACCCTGTCACTATTGTTGTATGATGTATCGTCTGACCCTGTCACTATTGTTGTATCGTCTGGTCCTGTCACTATTGTTGTATCGTCTGACCCTGTCACTATTGTTGTATCGTCTGACCCTGTCTATTGTTGTACTATTGTCATTATTGTTGTATGATGTATCGTCTGACCCTGTCACTATTGTTGTTGTATCGTCTGACCCTGTCACTATTGTTGTATGATGTATCGTCTGACCCTGTCACTATTGTTGTACCCTGTCACTATTGTTGTTGTATGATGTATCGTCTGACCCTGTCACTATTGTTGTATGATGTATCTGGTCTGACCCTGTCACTATTGTTGTATGATGTATCGTCTGACCCTGTCACTATTGTTGTATTGTCTGACCCTGTCATTATTGTTGTATGATGTATGACCATGTCACTATTGTTGTATTGTCTGACCCTGTCATTATTGTTGTATGATGTATCGTCTGACCCTGTCACTATTGTTGTATCGTCTGACCCTGTCACTATTGTTGTATCGTCTGGTCCTGTCACTATTGTTGTATCGTCTGGTCCTGTCACTATTGTTGTATCGTCTGACCCTGTCACTATTGTTGTATTGTCTGACCCTGTCATTATTGTTGTATGATGTATCGTCTGACCCTGTCACTATTGTTGTATGATGTATCGTCTGACCCTGTCACTATTGTTGTATCGTCTGACCCTGTCACTATTGATGTATCGTCTGACCCTGTCACTATTGTTGTATGATGTATCGTCTGACCCTGTCACTATTGTTGTATGATGTATCGTCTGACCCTGTCACTATTGTTGTATCGTCTGGTCCTGTCACTATTGTTGTATCGTCTGGTCCTGTCACTATTGTTGTATGATGTATCGTCTGACCCTGTCACTATTGTTGTATGATGTATCGTCTGACCCCGTCACTATTGTTGTATCGTCTGACCCTGTCACTATTGTTGTATGATGTATCGTCTGACCCTGTCACTATTGTTGTATGATGTATCGTCTGACCCCGTCACTATTGTTGTATGATGTATCGTCTGACCCCGTCACTATTGTTGTATGAGGTATCGTCTGACCCTGTCACTATTGTTGTATCGTCTGACCCTGTCACTATTGTTGTATGATGTATTGTCTGACCCTGTCACTATTGTTGTATCGTCTGACCCTGTCACTATTGTTGTATGATGTATCGTCTGGTCCTGTCACTATTGTTGTATCGTCTGACCCTGTCACTATTGTTGTATTGTCTGACCCTGTCACTATTGTTGTATCGTCTGACCCTGTCACTATTGTTGTATCGTCTGACCCTGTCACTATTGTTGTATCGTCTGACCCTGTCACTATTGTTGTATCGTCTGACCCTGTCACTATTGTTGTATCTGTCACTATTGTTGTATCGTCTGACCCTGTCACTATTGTTGTATGGCGTATTGTCTGACCCTGTCACTATTGTTGTATGGAGTATCGTCTGACCCTGTCACTATTGTTTGTATGATGTATCGTCTGACCCTGTCACTATTGTTGTATGGCGTATTGTCTGACCCTGTCACTATTGTTGTATGATGTATCGTCTGACCCTGTCACTATTGTTGTATCGTCTGACCCTGTCACTATTGTTGTATCGTCTGACCCTGTCACTATTGTTGTATTGTCTGACCCTGTCATTATTGTTGTATGATGTATCGTCTGACCCTGTCACTATTGATGTATCGTCTGGTCCTGTCACTATTGTTGTATCGTCTGACCCTGTCACTATTGTTGTATGGCGTATTGTCTGACCCTGTCATTATTGTTGTATGATGTATCGTCTGACCCTGTCACTATTGATGTATCGTCTGGTCCTGTCACTATTGTTGTATCGTCTGACCCTGTCACTATTGTTGTATCGTCTGACCCTGTCACTATTGTTGTATCGTCTGACCCTGTCACTATTGTTGTATCGTCTGGTCCTGTCACTATTGTTGTATCGTCTGACCCTGTCACTATTGTTGTATCGTCTGACCCTGTCACTATTGTTGTATGATGTATCGTCTGACCCTGTCACTATTGTTGTATCGTCTGGTCCTGTCACTATTGTTGTATCGTCTGGTCCTGTCACTATTGTTGTATCGTCTGGTCCTGTCACTATTGTTGTATCGTCTGACCCTGTCACTATTGTTGTATTGTCTGACCCTGTCATTATTGTTGTATGATGTATCGTCTGACCATGTCACTATTGTTGTATTGTCTGACCCTGTCATTATTGTTGTATGATGTATCGTCTGACCCTGTCACTATTGTTGTATCGTCTGACCCTGTCACTATTGTTGTATCGTCTGGTCCTGTCACTATTGTTGTATCGTCTGGTCCTGTCACTATTGTTGTATCGTCTGACCCTGTCACTATTGTTGTATTGTCTGACCCTGTCATTATTGTTGTATGATGTATCGTCTGACCCTGTCACTATTGTTGTATCGTCTGGTCCTGTCACTATTGTTGTATCGTCTGACCCTGTCACTATTGTTGTATCGTCTGACCCTGTCACTATTGTTGTAT